AGGGGGGGGGGGGGGGGGGGGCAATAACCGACTTTAGGTTTTTGCTAGCGGGCGCGGACGGAGCAGGAAAACAACACGTCGGTATCAATTAGCGCCTTCCTACGCACGTCCATTTGGAAGAGACGATGGCTGGTGAGTGTGTATGCGCTGCGTCGGAAACATTAAAAAAAAAACGATGAAACTAATTCCTGCTTGAAAGACACAATTCCTTCCGAGATTTGAACAAACAACATCATCAATAGCTCGTCCTAAGGACTCTTGGTGAAAAATTGCAGGGTCGACCGTCGGGGAGACATTCCAAGCCTTGTCCAAAATTGCAAAATACCTGTCAAAAACTTTGAGAAAACTCCTTGAACAACTATGTCTACCAAGCGTGGGGTATAGTAGGATCGACGAGGAAAAAACAAATCAACAGCAACAGATATGCATATTTGTAGTCGCGCCATCCTTCTCTCGTCCATCAGGAAAAATTAAGACAAACACAGCAAGACTACACACCCGTTCGACTGCTGGATCTTCTATTATTGTACCTCTGAAAATAGAAAATGGCGAAAGGGGGGACATACGTAAAAAAAAATGGAAACGCAATAAAGAGCGAGCGCTCATCATCGGGTTCGAACCCGTAACCTACGCCACGCATCGCCTGACACGTGAATGTCACATGTTGATCGGGGAGCGCACGCCTGTCATAGTCGCCGATTTTGATTTCGAGGTCAGGTTTGGGCCAAGCAAACAGCACAGCGATCCACCATATAGGGCACCACCGAGTTTGAGCAATGTGTATGTATGTATCCATCAACAAGAAGCGTCATGAAGCGCCAACAAGGCGGCAAGATCTATGTTGCACACATACGCGGCAAGACGAGGTGACAAGTCTACGACGCGCAAGAAAGGAAAACTAGCAAAAAGGATGACGGGAACTGCCCCTGAGTACCGCTGGTACCCGGCGTTCCCGCCTGACACACTCATGAACACGCAGCCGTGCACCGCTGGACCACTTCACGCCGAGCTCCCGAGCTCATCCTGGCGGACATTCAATGATCTTCATAACCCTAACCCCTTCTTCCCCTCGCTGCCTCGGCAAGATTGTGCTCAGGCATGACCCATAACGAGAGGGGGGGTCTTTCTAGCGATCAGCGCTAGACTCACCCTCAAGGGACCGATACCTTCTTGCTGCGGCGCACCCGCCGCGAGGCGTGCGTAGTGGTGGAGTTGGGTCGGCACTGGTGCGTCATGTACAAAGGTGCAGGTGCGCGGGCCTCCAGGCCGTCGGTGTAGGCAGCAATGCCCATCTCATCTTTGTGCGCGGAAGCAGACGCCATCAGAAAGGTGGACGGGCACTATGTACACGGCCCTGGATTTGCTAGAGGGAGCTGTATTGTCTCAGTGACCTGGTTTTGCCATCAAAGGAGGAGGGGACAGGGGATGACGAGCTGATTGGGCTGGTTGACCCTTCGCCGCGAGAAGTTTCAGACCAAGAACCCTAAGTGCAACGAGGGAGACAGCGAGGAACCGACCGGGGAGGACAGCAACGAGAGCGTGTACGAAGCGGAGCGGGTCGAGTTTGGTCGTTGTAGGACTGGCCACAGCGGCACCGGAGCAGCGGCACCCGAGCAGCGGAACCGGAGCATGCGGACGGCATCGAACCGTGACGTACGGAGAAACATCTCTTGTGCTGTCAAATATTTTCCGTTTTTTCCCTGAATATAGGTGTTGTGTGTGTGATGACGTCACTGGTTTTGTAGAGAGACGCGGCAGAGATGGCGCGGATAACCCGCGTACCTTAATTGTGTACCTGCATCGTGGAAGACCCCTTCAATGCGGAACGATTCCTAGCCAGTGTCGATGTTTACACTGCTGTGTCTAACACAGATGATCTGGATAGATTCGGGTGATTGTCAACTGCAATAATGGCTTCGGTTGGTTTTTCATCTTAATTGTATGTCCACGGACTCATTCTGACAGCGCTTCAGACAGCAGCTGCATTCCCCAAGCTTTTGTACCATGCACCATGGTGTTATTATTGTACAGACAGCACTTCAGACAGCGGTACGCTGTAGTCGACAAACATTCATCGTGGTTGAGTGCGGGAGAAGGGGGGTGATGCTGCTGCTGTAGTCGAATTGTGGTGTGTGGGCGTGTAGTTCAGCTTTGAGTACGCAAACGTGCTGCAGGGATTTGTAAGTGTACCTCCTCGGGCTTGTNAATTGTGTACCTGCATCGTGGAAGACCCCTTCAATGCGGAACGATTCCTAGCCAGTGTCGATGTTTACACTGCTGTGTCTAACACAGATGATCTGGATAGATTCGGGTGATTGTCAACTGCAATAATGGCTTCGGTTGGTTTTTCATCTTAATTGTATGTCCACGGACTCATTCTGACAGCGCTTCAGACAGCAGCTGCATTCCCCAAGCTTTTGTACCATGCACCATGGTGTTATTATTGTACAGACAGCACTTCAGACAGCGGTACGCTGTAGTCGACAAACATTCATCGTGGTTGAGTGCGGGAGAAGGGGGGTGATGCTGCTGCTGTAGTCGAATTGTGGTGTGTGGGCGTGTAGTTCAGCTTTGAGTACGCAAACGTGCTGCAGGGATTTGTAAGTGTACCTCCTCGGGCTTGTGTACCCTTTTCTTGCTGATAGTGTGTGTGTTCTTTAGATCTTCTGATGGCTCTAGCATTTTTATGACCACGGACCGAGTCTTTGCTAGATTTTTGGGATCAGCAACTGACACGAGTTTAATGTGAAGAAAACAACAACAACAACAACAACAACAACAACAACAACAACAACAACAACAACAACAACAACAACAACAACAACAACACCGCGGATCGTGTGACCTTGCTTGACAGGGCAGTCGCTCAGGTTTTTAACCCCTTCTAAACCCCATATTTCGGATATTGGTGGGTTCTTTGTTAACAACGTCCAGACGCGCTCCCGGCGGTCACAGCGCTCTGGGATCATCGTGGATATGAGGCGCTCAACTCAAACTGCGCGTATGCTCACATGTGCACAAAACCTTGACTAGTCTACACTATCTACTGTAAATATTTCAGCGGATAGAATCAGCCCACGATTCAAAGCGCCGGTTGTGGGAGTAATGATACAATCGATAAGGATCGTGCGCGCACCAAACCCACCCGTAGCCGACCCTTCTGCCCCAGTCTGTCCACCAGCAGCAAGCAAAACACAACCCTCTCCGTCTGATAAGCTTGTAGAGCACGCATTACCTAGCGATAGCCCTGGTAGGAGCAGCACCGGCTCTCTCGCCTGCCAACGAGGAGGGTCCATGGCGGTGGGATCCGCGTACAAGTTGCCTGCTTTCGTGCCTGGATGGGCCGAGACCGCGCCGTATGCGATCCATCATGTCCAGCTCGTTGTTGGAGGCACAGCCCCCGACACGACCGCTGCTGCTCATGCTGCTGTTCGTTCTGCGGCTTCTGCCGGAAGCGGCCGTATGAAGCGACCAAGCGGGAGCCGCTCCCGCCGCCGGCGCAAAAGCCGACGTCGTTTCTGCTGCCTGCATCATGCAACAAAGCGCAAAGAGCCACCAGGGTTGGATTTGGCCCGCATGAAAGTTGATTGGCAACGCAATCTCGTCCTTGGTCGTCTATCGCTGCAGAATCGAGAAACGGTGGTGCGGTTTGCGCTATCGTGGTGCGGGGCACGAACACGCAATCCTAAACTTACCGTGCTGTCAGCTTGCTGCATGCGTAAGCTGCGTAGATTTCGATTGAAAGTTGTTTTATTTTCTTAATATCACACAACAAATCCATCTCTATCTATAGAAGTAAGTCTAAGATAGATTAGCCATAAATCCATAGCGTGAGCGAAAAGCTACCTGTATGTCTACGGTATCCCAGACAGCATACAACGATATCTCCCCTGTGGGTAACAGGCTCAACAAGGCAGTTTTGTTCCTGGCGAACAGGGCGGCGCGGCTTCGGAGACAAACGTTGAACGTTTCGCTGCGCAATTTGCATGGGCTTAAAACTACAGAGGTGGAGCGAGCTCACACACGCACAGAGAGAGACAGAAGCCGTTTGCATGTGAGTCGTTCGTACTACGGCGGAAGAGGATGAGGCAAGGTCGACAAGTGGCGATCTTCCCATCTCGCCGAGAGCTGTCGGCTCTTTCTCAACCCAACCGCAGCTGCAATAATAGGCTGTAGACTATGTGTCGTGCAAAGATGCACCGACTGCTGCTGCGGTGGCACATGATCGTGGCTGGACATCGGAGAAAGCCTGCTGTCTATCATCATTCGGCTCAATCAAGCACGTGCTCACCAGCAGCAGCAGTGTCGCCACCAGAAGCAGTCTTGCGGCAGCGACGCTCGAATCTGCCCACATCAACCTTGTAGAGGTGACAACAATCAGCACCTACACAGGGTACCACTTTGCAGCTCAGCTATCAGTCACCACTGCAACAATAGAAGCAGGCTAGGGGGGAGGTATATCCAACCGATTGGTGGGGGGCCGTATTACCCTCGCTAGTGAGAGCTCATTAAAAGGGTGTGCGCGGGTGCCTGTGTCAAAGGGTTTGGTGTGCGCGTGTGTGACGGTCGGTCAACTTGTTAGAGCGTGAGAGAGAGCGCGTCAAGAGGGCACGCGGATTCAAACACGAGAAGCACCCCCCCCCACCCTCACCCCTCCCTATTTTTCAGGCGACATAATATTTACCGTAAGGTTGCGGGTTAGCGCACGGTCCGGAGTCGTCGCACAGGGGTGCGATGAAAATTTAATGGCATAGTTATTTAATTCGATTTCCGCACAGGGTCCGACGTTACCGCACAGTGGAGTGCGAGCGATTCCGGGGCAACTTCACCCGTGCAAGTATGCCAGTGCTGCCCTTGACAACTTTGACCCCTGCAAACATGCCAGTGCTGGCCATGGCAACTTTCACCTCTGCAAACATGCCGTTGATGGACAATGGCAACTTTCACCCCTGCAACCATGCCAGTGCTGGCATGTAGCTCTGCTGTATGTGTAGGTATGTCATCGTCGCATAGTGTGCAGGAAATGAAACACATTGATTGGTATTTCCATGGGATCGGTAAACTTGAGCATTGTCCATTCAACCAAAACACCAGAAGAAAGCAGGAAGAAAGCGAGCACCCATCAGCCAAAACAACTAACAACAGCAAACCAGTAGGACTTAAACTGAATTTGTTTGCGGCCAACGCCACTTATTTAACGGGTGAGACTGCTTTGGTGATGTATTAACTTCACGGGAGGTAGACGACCGTCCTTCACACGGACGAAAGAGGGAGTGCTCAAAGAGCGGCTCCCACAGCAAGGAGGGGCCCCGTGAATCATCGCGGTGCCCCCTATCAAACGGTTATCTTACCAGTCTGCGTGACACAAAATCATCCAGCACATGTATCCAACAGCAATGTTCGCAGACTCACGAACACCCTCCCTGGTTCTTCACGCAAGTGACTAACCATCAATTGGGCAAGAACGCCCCAGGATACATCAGAAAATACCAACATGGTAACATATGGAGGGGAAACCCGGCGTCCGGGCAAAACCCCTCAAGGAAAAACCCTTCCACCACAAAAAACCGTCGCTATCACAGCGGCTTACAACGGCCGCACTTACCAAAAAATCCAAGGCAAGTGCTAAAAACTGCTACATCTACTCCGGCAAATTCATCAGCTTGCGCCGGTGGTACTGCAGACTGACCCTGCTAAGGGCCTTGGTAAGGAGGTCCGCGTGTTGCTCCGTTGTCGGAACAAACTTGACCGAAATATCCCCCGACCTAAACAATCCTCGGATGAAATGATACCTCACGTCGATGTGTTTCGTGCGACCTGAGCTGAGGGGGTTCTGCACCAACGCTATGGCCCCCTGGTTGTCCTCAAGGACCTTGATGCTGCTACCACTGGTCTCTGGGGCGACAAACGAAAGCACAGCACGCACAAACAACGCCTCCTTGACACCCTCCCCGGCAGCAATGTACTCGGCTTCCGTTGAAGACAAAGACACGATACTCTGCGTCTTGCTACCATGGCTGACTACGGTACCTCCAACCGTCGTCGCCAACCCTGACACCGAACGCCTATCCTCCGTGTCGGCGTAGCTAGCGTCTACGTACACGGCCAGCCCTAACCCCGATCCCCGTTGGTAGGTGATGCCGAGGTCCCTCGTCCCTTTCAGGTAGCCGAGGATCTTCTGTATGGCATCCCAGTGCCGCTTCGCCGGGGCGTGGGCGTGGCGCGCTACCGCACGCACGGCGAACGAGACGTCTGGACGCGAGAAAGTCGACACCCACATCATGCTGCCGATGGCCTCCCTCACCGGCCACTCCCCTCCTTCCTCATCCTCTCGCTTCGGCCCTAGATCGGCACCAGGGGTAGCGGGGATGCGGGAAGTTGATTTCACATCGAAGCGTTCAACCATGCTGTCGATATACGCGGTTTGGGAGATTCTAAGAGTCCCAGCCTCTACATCTCTCTCGATGGCACACCCATCAAACCATTGACACTCTCCAAGGTTTTTGGTGGGAAATTTCTTGTTGAGAGAAGCAAGCAACTCCTCGCAATCCTCGTCAGACCCAGCCACCAAAATGTCATCCACATAAATCACGATAATCATCACCACGACTTCGTCTACCATCTTGCGGAAAACACACGGGTCCGCCTTGCATTGCTCGAACCCGTTCTCGACTAGCGTATCAGCAGCGTGGTACCCCCACTGCCTACCGCTCTGCTTCAGACCATAAATCGCACGCTCAGCCTTAGCAATCTTATGCGACTTGTCCCCGCACCCAGCGGGGAGCTTCAGAAAAACCTCCTCGTCTAGCGTAGCGTGTGTATACGCCTGCTTCACATCCCAGTGATTGAGGTTCATGCCCTTCTCGTTCGCTACCGCAAGCATCAGCTTAATGGATGCGGATGAGGGGCAAGGGGAAGACGAATGGAAATAATCGACGTTCGGGATTTGCGAAAACCCCCTAGCAACCAGACGCGCTTTGAACGTGTCTATCTTCCCTTCCTTGTTGGTCTTCCAACTAAAACACCACTTTGAGCTCACAGGCCTGCGCCCCTCTGGCGCACCGTCTACGAATGAAAACGTCCCCGTGCCCAAGTGCCCTTCAAACTCTTCCCTCATGGCCTGTTCCCACCCCTCTCGGTAAACAGACTTGGCAACGCCGGCTACAGTCATGGGTGGGGCTTCTACATCACTCGGACGCTTGCCTATGGGGGATTCACTTAGCTCGTGGGACGCCAGAGCCGTCTCGAAGGCGTCTGGCGAGTTGAGCATGAGGTCCACCGTACCCAGCAGGAAATCCTCCGCCTCTTGGCGCGCAGCGTGGGCCTCCTGCGCGCGCTCGGACAGCAACTCTCGCACCACCCTCGCCTCTAGCCCCTCCGCCACGTGAAGTACTGCCGAGAGCATCCAGCGGGTGAACTCCTCCGTGCTGCTGTCGGGCAGGCTCGCCACCGAGGCGAGCAGGGCTTCGGCACTTGTCGGCGACGGGGCCGATGTGGGCGGCGACGGGGGCGACTCGTACCTCGGATTTCGGCGAGGGTTCTCCCTAGTGCGGCGGCTGGTGAGTTCCGCCGGCTTGTCGAAGCGGGCGAGCCGCCGGGCCTCTGGCCCACAGAGCGCCGGGAGATCCGTCTCGCTGTCGCTGCCACTGCTGCTGTCGCTGCCGCCGTCATCGACGCTGCTGCCACCGCTGCTGCTGTCGCTGCCACTGCCGCCGCTACCGCGGCTACTGCTGTCGCCGCCGCTGCCGCCGCTGCCGCCGCTACCGCGGCTGCTGCTGCTGCGGCGGTCGTCCTCGCCGCCGCCCACATCGGCCGTGCCGGTCGACGTGGTAGATGGGGCGACGCTCGCGCTCTCCCTGCTCGAGGGGGCGCCATCGCCAGCGTCGCCCGCGCCCGACTCCTGGGGCGCGGCCGGCGGTGCCGCCGGCGCTACGCGCGCGGGCGGCCCCGCGGGCCCTGGGGCTGCCGTCGTGCCAAGGTTGAAACCTGGTCCTCCATCCACAGGTTCTCTCTCCGCCCTCCCTCCACCTTGGTTCGACGCGCCCTCCCCAACCTCGTCCTCCTCAGTCGCGAATTCCTCTTCCTCCTCTGCGATGAGAGGCAGCGACTGGGGCAGGGCGGCGGGGGCGGCGGGCACGGATTGCCAGGTGAAGTTGCGAGTTGTGATCGCTCGGCGTTTTTCGTTGAGGATGCGCACGCAATCACGGTTGGTGTTGATTCCCGGGCCGAGGTAAAAACACTTTTGGGCTTTTGGCTCGGACTTGTGTGTGCGCTTGACCTTGTATACGGCAGGTTTGAGGAACGGGTACGTCGCCCCCGGCGGGGGAGGGTGCCCGTGCCACATCTCGTACGGCGACTTCTTCTCTGGGTTGGATGTGGTGGAGGTGCAGTTCAGGGCGTTGCATGACCAAGCTATGGCCTCGGCCCAAAGGGATGGGTAGTTCGGTGCTCCGGGGTAAAGAGTTGGTGCTTGGATACGGGCGGCTAGTGCTGCATCCTTGATCAGACCCAGTGCTCTCTCAGCTACACCGTTGTATTCTGGGCTGTGCGCGGGGGTGAACTCCTGTTTGATGCAGTACTTCCGGCACACCCTGCCGAACTCTCCCTCAAAGAACTCTCCTCCGTTGTCAGATCTCACGACCATGACATCGGACGGGGCACCGTTTGCCCGGTTTTCGGCAAGGTATCTCTCGAATGCCTCAGCTGCGTCTGATTTGTGCTTCAGGAAATAGACACGGTTCCACCTTGTGTAATCATCCTTGACAATGAGAGTGTACCACTTTCCCCCCAAGCTCTGCACCCTAGCTTTTCCACTCAAATCCACGAAAACTCGCTGCAGTTTCTTAACTGCTCGGGTCGACGTTTTGTTGGGGATGGGCTTGGAAAGCCCCTTCGCCGTCGAGCACCCCAGGCACTCCCGGAGCTCGCCCACCAGCGTCGTCCCTTGCTGCTTCGCCGTGGTCCTCAGCAGCACCTCGTGGGAGTGGCCGTGCGCGCAGTGGAAATCGTTGATGTCAACGGGGGTGCTGGGCGCTTTCGCGTTGCCAGGAGCAATTGCGGCACAGGCATGTTCGGTGTGTGTGCGGAAACCGTTTTGGACGTACAGGTTACCGCATCGGGGGAAGTACACCACCTCCCCCCCCCCTCTCTCCAACTCCAACTCGTGTTTGTTGAGGGTTTTGGTTTCGAACCCGTCGTCGAAGAGGGAAGTGAGAGATACTAGGTTGTAGTCTAGTCGGGGGACGTGTGCAACCCGTTTCAACAACAGGTCGGTTGTACCGTCGCGCGAGCTAAGGGTTACCGTCACGTCGCCATACCCTACGATAGGGAAGGTTTCTCCGGCGGCGACGCGCACACGTCGATCACACTCTTCGTAACGAACGAACCCATCTGAGTTCGCGAACATGTGGGTGGTAGCGCCGGTATCGGCAACATACCTACCCCGCCTAGCCTGCTCTACACCCCCTCGACCAACGACTTTGTGACACTCGCCTGAGATGTCACCGACCACCAGCGCTTCTTCTGCCACGTCCAGTGCTGTGGCGTCCGCAGACGCCCTCCCCGCCGGCACTTCCACCACGAGCACCGCCTCTTCGGTCGGGCACTTGCTCTTGTCGTGGCCGTAGCCCTTGCATGTCTCACATCGCACGGGCTTGCTCTCGGGGCAGTTGGCCACCTGGTGGCCCTTCTTACCGCACCGGAAACAGCGACCGCGCATGCTACCCGCATCGTCGTCGCCGCCTCCGCTGCCGCCTCCAGCCTTCGCGCCACCCCCTCTCCCCTTCTGGTTGCCGCCGCCGCCGCCGCCACCCTTGCGGCGGCCGCTGTTGCCGCGGCCCGGCGCTCCTCCCCCGCCGCCACCGTCACTCGCGAGGAGAGCATGCTCCGCCCTACGCTGGCCCTTCGAGGCCTTCCTTCCCTCCGGGAGGCTCGCGTGCACCGTGCTCACGATCCTGACGATCTCGGCCCTATCCAGCGCCGTTGCTGTCTCCAACAGGAACTTCGCTTGTTGGTACTCGGGTGGGAGGGAACCAACGAAGTGGGCGAGAACGAAGGGTTGTTCAGCATTGAGCCCCTTTTCGCGCAGGCGGGCATACAGCAGCTCGAGAGAGTAGAGGTGCTCGATGGGGTTGCTGTTGCTGTGTGTGGGGATTGCAAAGTCGAACATCTTCCGCATCAAGGCCTGTTTTGACCCCTGTGACTCCGGATCGTAGACCTTTTCCAATTCCGCAAGGACCTCTTTCGCTGACGTACAGTTGCTGATAATTGCTTTGTCAGCTTCTTTTACCACAGCAGTAGTGATAAAGTGGAACGCCTGAAGCCCCCGTTGGACTTCTGCTCTCGTGTACCCCCTACGGAGCAGTTCGGAAGTCGGCAAGTTTGGGTCGCCCACGGGGATACTGCTCTCTGCATCTCCTATAAACTGCCCGTCCAAGTCGATGGTCTTCGCAGCTTGGATGAATGATTTTCGCCACGAGTCAAATCCGTGGCTACGGCTTTTTCCGTCTAGGAGCGGGGCATTGACCGTTACCCTCTTCATGTGGCTACTGCTGTAGCCGTCGAGGTATTCTCCATTTCCTCGAATCACGGGTATCTCACCTGGGGGGTTTAACCCCCTCGCTTCCCCGTAGTCCGGTCCTATGCCCGGGCCCACTCCGGCTGGTCCAACAGGGTTCGCTCCCGATCTGCTGGCCCAGCCGCCTTCCAGCAGCGACCGTGGTCCTTGCCCACTATCTCTCGTTTGCTGCTGGAGAAATCCCCCGCCACCGCCGAGCGGCAGCGTGGGCTCTTCTCGTTGGCCTCTGGGGGCAGCAACCCAGCCACCCCTACTGGCTGCATCCGCCACGACGCTACCAGGCTCCTTCTTCTTCACCGACTCCTCCACCAGGGCCGCCAATTGCGAAATCTGCCGTTGCAAACTTGCAAGCTCCGCGTCGCGGCCCTCCTGCACTGGCGGGCGGATCTGTTCTCCGCTCGCAGCAGCGCGCTCTTCGTCTCCAGCAGAGCTCATCCCGATGTGGCTTCCCTCGAGGGGCAAAACTCTAGAGTGTTTGCGGCCTACGCCACTTATTTATCGGGTGAGACTGTTTTGGTGATGTATTAACTTCACGGGAGGTAGACGACCGTCCTTCACACGGACGAAAGAGGGAGTGCTCAAAGAGCGGCTCCCACAGCAAGGAGGGGCCCCGTGAATCATCGCGGTGCCCCCTATCAAACGGTTATCTTACCAGTCTGCGTGACACAAAATCATCCAGCACATGTATCCAACAGCAATGTTCGCAGGCTCACGAACAGAATTCCGATGAAGATTTTCGATTTCTATTCTGTCGATTAGACCGGGCCTAACTGTAGCCGCGAAGGCGAAGACAAAACGACTGGACTTGCGGGTGTTGAAGGCCTTGTCGTCTGCCATGTACACCCAAGACCATCCGCAGTTTCTGGCCATGAACTGGGTCAAGTGCAACATCATCGAGGGTTTCTGCCCGTTGTCTCATGGCGAGAAGGAGTAGGTGCGAGCGAGCTTGAAGCTGACTGCTCTCAAGAACTTCCCCATCACTGGCATCCACAACAAGGCCGTCAAGCAGATGGTCTTCGAGATGTACGCCGCGACCGCTTCCCAGTTCAAGATGGAGATGGCTGCCCAGATCGGCGGCATGCGGCTTCTGCACCTCAACCTCGACCTATGGGTGGACAAGTTCTCGAGCTTGAAGTACATCGGTAAGATAAAACGCGTGACCAGCAGCTGAGCGCTTGTTGTTGTAGCTGAGGTACCATCTCTCCGTGCACGCCACTTGTTTTGGTTTCGTCGCTTCGAAAAGACGAAAAGCGAGGTTGCTGCTCGACAACGGTTGCACACCCTGTACAAATGCAGTATTTGGTAGTTGACTGGGAATCAACTACTTTCCTGAAAAGCTGCGCAACTATTTGGTTCCAGTCAACTAGTCTACTGTTTGAAAAGCTGCGCAAATATTTGGTGCCTGTCAACTGCTGTCTTGAAAAGCTACGCCACTAGACTATTTGGTTCCAGTCAACTGCTGTCTTGACAAGCTGCGCAGCTATTTTGGTTCCAGTCAACTGCTGATTTGAAAAACTGCGCAACTATTACTATTTATTCCACTCAACTACTCCCGGAGGCAACTCTTTGTCAACTATTTATTTTGTCCTGACAACTATTTTTGAACATTTTGTGCTTGAAAGTGAGGGGGCGGGGGATCGGAGGGAGCCCAGCCTGATGTCATTGGATGGAAGACTAAGATTGGTTCCGGAAACGTGCATCGTCGAATCAAGAGTGCGTGCATGTATCTGAGCCACCGTCATCGAGACGTAAATAAACAAGATGAAGTCAATCGAAGCGACAAAAAAAACAATGAGTTTTGCCCGGACTATGTTGCATTACGTCCATCATCATCGTTTACGCGAGTTGAAGCCACCCAGAACGAAGAAGAATAAATTGCAATTGACCAACCGACCACCATCCCGGTAATCCTCTCGTGACCAGAGACCACGGTCGCCTCGTGGCCAACAAGTATCGGCAAAGATCAAACATCCATCCACGACCTCTCGGCAGCCAGCTCGTTCTTGCGGCCGGCCTGACCGCCATCAAGCGCAACCGCGTCACCCTTCCCCGTGCTACTGCCCCGAGCTTTTAATCCGACGCCTCCTCATCGGTGAGGTCCACCGGCGCGAAAGCGCCGTCGAGCTGCTCCAGCCCCTCGACGGGGTTCGCCAGCCGCCCGGGGATCTTCGTTCGTGCAACAGCCTCGGTCAGCTTGGTGATGTCCTCGGGGATGAGGTCCAGGTTCCCGTGCAGGAACAGAATCATTTCCACGTACTTGCTGTCCATGGTGCTCCTGGAGGAAGTCATCATTCGCCCAGCATTGCTGAAATCATGCTCGAGCACTGCCGCCGATGCAAGAGCCCCGATAACCACGCGTGCAACCCTAGCCAGAAGAGGGTAGGCGTGGGCCCACATCTTCCACCACTTGAGCACATCCTCGCACCTCAACCCGGCCGCGAGACTGCCGCCCTGGACAGCCCTCAGCTTGGTGAGCTCGGCGCGAGCAGTCTGCTCGAAAGACGGCGGCTCCTCTTTCTGCCCGTCACTCCCTCTTGTTGACGGTGGCCTTGAACAGGGGGTGCACGCTCCCGGGAGCAGCCGCTTGACGAGCACGTTTGGCAGCGGGCTTATCGGCAGCCGCAGACCAGGCAGGCGTCGTTGATCCATCCCCCGTGTGGAGTGCCGCTGCCTCCGCCAGCTTTACAGCCAAGGAGATGACCTTGTCGGTGATGGTCGACTTGACAGCACCAGCGAACGCTGACGTTGACGCGAGCTTGTCCACGTACCGCAGGTCAGCCGTGGTCGGGTGCAAGGCCATCTGCATGTCGAACACGTAGTCCGTGTCTTGGCTCTTGGCGCTCTTGTAGCGCTTGTCGAACCACCGCCAGTCAACGGACTCGCACATGTGCTGCCGAGTACCCCTGGCCACGCCAGTCAACAAGCTGTGCTCGCGGGGAGTGCTGGTGGCCGGTCGCTCCCCGCTACCAATGCCGCTTGTCCCAGCCTGAGCCAGCTTGCGCGCCGGGGTCAAAATCTCGAGCGGGGAGTCGACGTTGAGCGTAGTGAGCTTGAGCGCCGCCAGGGCAAGCACCGCAACTTGCCAGACGTCTGCTGGTACCTGACGATGACTTGCGCGGCCGGCTTGATGATATAGTGCAACTCGTCGATCTCGTCCGTCAGGGACGTGAGCGGACTGTGTTTGCCTTCCGCCGCGTACACGCCGTCTATGGCTGGACGGTTGACGATGACCGCCTCCAAGACGTTTGTCACCCCTGACCACCGCTGGGGTGCGGCGTTGACCAGCTTGCGGTGGTAGCACTGCGCGTACTGCCTGACCTGCTCCTCCTCGAAGATGGCCTGTTTTGTGGGGGGGGGCGGGGGGGGGCGCGAGGGTGGCGCGTTTCGACACGTGAGGAATTCTGCATACGTAATTCGCGGGGTGGTGCTCGCACGACAATTTAAACATCATGAGAAGTACGCGAGTAATTCGCAGCTAACTTTTGTGAAAACAAGCATTGACCCCTACTGGTACGTGAACCACTCGTAATCGTTGGTAGCGCTACATCACCACAGCCAATCACCACGGTAACACTGACCTTCGCTCTGGGAGATTTGCGGATGTGCTCCACAATCGTTTTCACCGTCGTGATCACTTTGCGTGCACCGGGGTTTCTCGACTTGGCCGGATCCACGTGCATACCGAACGCCTGTCATTCAGGACGTGAGCGAGCGGGATCAGTCAATCTCAATAACATTATGTATTTGTCGCGCAAAGGACAGGGAGCACCACGAGCGATGTCTCGTCCTGCACCCCAACAAGCGTGTCCGCATTCGTGCCTCTCGCTCGTTTCTTACGCTGTACTACTTCTTCTCCTTCTAAAACTCAACCGAAGAAGCAGTCGTAGCTCACGGCCATCTATTTCAGCACTCTTTTCGCCTTTCACCAAAAACGACCACCGAAAACCCAGGACTTGTGTAGAACTCATGCATCGCCAAAACTGAGTATGGCGGAAAACCACCACCATCGCAACCTCACCTTCACCACCGCGCAGTTCATCATGTGGCACACACACCACTCCCACAGCCCCGGCAGCAGTACGTCGCACAGTCGCTTCACGTCGCTGCCGGCGTCGCTCGTCGCAGAGAAGAGAAGTGACACGTCGAGGCCGTACTCCGCAAGCACTCTCTCGAGGTACTTCTGCAGAAGAGTCGAGAGGCGATTGTCCTCGAGCAGCTCCTTGGTGGGGTTGAACTGTCGAACTGCGATGAGGCGAGACCTCAGCACCCAGGTCCGGTCGACGTAGTACAACCGAATACCTGGAGAGAACAAGAACGAGCGCGAATCAACGAAGGGAGGCAACAAAATATGATAATTAGTATTGGCGCGAATGGCACATGTCGATGTTCACAACCGTTCATGCCCTGTACAAATATCAAATGTAAATACTATTACTATTTGAGTGTAATCAGCTGCTACGGGTATTTGCCTGTAAACAAATATTTGCGCAGCTTTTAAAGACAGCAGTTGACAGGAACCAAATATTTGCGCAGCCTTTCAAAACAGTAAATGACTGGAACCACATATTTGCTCAGCTTTTCGAAACAATAAATGACTGCAATCAAATATTTGCTCAACATTCCTGGAAAGTAGTTGCCGATACTTGTTGGTCACGAGACGACCGTGGTCTCTGGTCACGAGAGGATTACCGGGATGGTGGTCGGTTGGTCTATTGCAATGTATTCTTCTTCGTTCTGGGTGGGTTCAACTCGCGTAAACGATGATGATGGACGTGATGTATTATAAACATCTAGTCGGGGCAAAACTCATTGTTTTTTTTGTCGCTTTGATTGACTTCATCTTGTTTATTTACGTCTCGATGACGGTGGCTCAGATACATGCACGCACTATTGGTTCGAGGATGCACGTTTCCGGAGCCAACCTCAATCTTCCATCCAATGGCATCAGGCTGGGCTCCCTCCGATCCCCCGCCCCCTCACTTTCAAGCACAAAATGTTCAAAATAGTTGTCAGGACCAATATGAATAGTTGACAGAGAGTTGCCTCCGGGAGTAGTTGCTCCGAACCAAAAATTTGCTTTTCAAGACAGCAATTGACAGGAACCAAATAGCTGTGCAGCTTTTCAAAACAGTAGTTGACTGGAACCAAATATTTGCACAGCTTTTCAAAACAGTAGTTGACTGCAATCAACTTTTTGCGCAGCTTTTCGAAACAGTAGTTGACTGCAATCAAATAATTGCTCAACATTTCTGGAAAGTAGTTGATTGCTATCAAATAGTTGCTCANTATTGGTTCGAGGATGCACGTTTCCGGAGCCAACCTCAATCTTCCATCCAATGGCATCAGGCTGGGCTCCCTCCGATCCCCCGCCCCCTCACTTTCAAGCACAAAATGTTCAAAATAGTTGTCAGGACCAATATGAATAGTTGACAGAGAGTTGCCTCCGGGAGTAGTTGCTCCGAACCAAAAATTTGCTTTTCAAGACAGCAATTGACAGGAACCAAATAGCTGTGCAGCTTTTCAAAACAGTAGTTGACTGGAACCAAATATTTGCACAGCTTTTCAAAACAGTAGTTGACTGCAATCAACTTTTTGCGCAGCTTTTCGAAACAGTAGTTGACTGCAATCAAATAATTGCTCAACATTTCTGGAAAGTAGTTGATTGCTATCAAATAGTTGCTCAGCTTTTCAAAACAATAGTTGACTGGAACCAAATAATTGCGCAGCCCTTCAGGACAGTAGTTGATTCCCAATCAACTACCAAATACTGTATTTGTACAGGGTGTACTCCTTTCGCATTGTTGTTGTCTTCACACTAAACCGTATGTCAGTTGCTAAATGCCAAAATCTAGCAAAAGACTCCCAGCCCGTGGTCACGAAAGTGCTAGAGCCATCTGAGGATCTAAAGAACACGCACACAT